CCTTCTCCTCCTCCAGCTCCTCCCCCTCCTCCTCCTCCTCCTTCTCCTCCTCCTCCTCATCCTCCTCCTCCTCCGCCTCCGCCTCTGCCTCCGCCTCCTCCTCCTCCTCCTCCTCCTTCCCCTCCTCCTCCTCCTCCTCCTCCTCCTCCTCCTCCTCCTCCTCCTCCTCCTCCTACTTGTCCTTCTCCTCTTCGTTTTCCTCCTCCTTCTCTCCCTCCTTGTAAGCCCCTGGGAGGCAAAAGACAGCCAACGGACCTCCCCTCAGGCCAAAACCTTCGACGGCCTGCTTGCGCTCCAGCCGTGGGCCCCGAGCTCCGGGCCGCACCCCCAGATTGAGAACAGAGGGCCTTTAAGCTCCGAGACGATAATCTTTGAGATCCGGCGGCTCTGGAAGATGTGTCGGGCGCCGCGGCCTTCCCAGAGCGTTCCGGACGCTCTGAGAGCGTTCCATAACGCTCTGGAACGGGTTTATCCTCGTCGAAACCCCGTCCGAGGGCCCACTGACGAAGCGAAGGAAAAGTGACGGACAGGTAAAAACCCTGTCTTTCTATGTTTATGAAGCCGCCACGGGCACCCAGAACAAGAACGAAAAACGCAAATCCAATTTCGATCTTCCTCATCCCTTTTCTCCTCCTTTTTCCCATCCCTTTCCTTTTGCTAATCCGTGTCCTCCTTCTCCCCCTCCTCCTCCTCCTCCTCCTACTCCTCCTCATCCTCCTCCTACTCCTACTGCTGCTCCTCCTTCCCCGCCTCCTCCTCCTTGTCCACGCCCCCGACCGTTGTGCATGTGCCGCCACACTCCCCCGCACTGCTACCGGGGCTGCCAAAGTCGTATGATGACGGACCGCGCGGTGACTACGAACCCCCAAGAGATCTCACCACGCGAATCGTCATCGCACGTTTTGGGGACCTGGGAAACCGCAATCGCCAAAGACGTCTTCGGATAACGAACCGGATCCAAAAACCATGAAGCGATTGCAAACCATCCAATGACTCCACACGCGATCTGGTCACCACACGGTTTGGGCCTCCCGATGTAAGAAAGAGAGAGAAAGAGAGGAAAATATCACATTAGAGAAGGACAACGAGACGGAGAAACAACATGGATAAACAATCTAAATAACAAACGAAATAGTCAGTGACAAGAGCGATCGGCTCGGCACCCACGGCCCCGCCACGCCTCGCCAGCCCCAGAGGCCCCCGCCTCGCAGAAGAGCCAAGAGACAATCCAAAAGATGCTTCATCTAATCCGGCGGATTCGGTGGAATTTCCTCTAGATAGCAGGCTCCGGGCCCGGGAGGCTGTCCGAGGTCCTACAGCCCTCGCCCTACAACCGTTGTCCTATTCAGCTTGAGGCTTCGACGCGGACAGCGGGGCCCGAGCACGGCACTACGCTCGCGCGCGCAACGGACATCCATGTCTGAGAGATCCCCCAACGCAGTCAGCACCCCCTAAGCACCACCCTATAATCCTAGATCGCGGGATCCTGGGATCGTCCCAATTGACTGTCAACATGTATTAAACGGCGCACCGCGAACTGACAACGTAGAAAACAATGACTTACGCAACATCTCGCGCCATTGCGCGGAGGTCCCGAGAAGTACCGAGCCGCGCATCGCGTCGTCGCGAAGCTTTCGGAGCAGCAAAGAGGGACCGCCGTCGACACTCTCATCGTCATCCCTGGCATTGGCCATCATCCTTGTTGCTCCAGTGCCGTGAGCTCTGGCTCAACAGCACCCTGCTGCCGCTGCGCCTTCCGCAAGGCTGGTGTCTGCGCTTGCGCTTGACCGTGGGAAGCGGCCCCCGTCTGCCTCCCGCACACGCTGGCGTCGTGCGCTCGTGGGTTCGCAGGACTCCTGAATGACTTGCAAAAGCTCACAACTGGTGGATGTTGAGGCCCAGATTTTGGAGCCTCAACAAAGCCTCAACGATGGCCGAAGCTTCTCGACGACGACGACGGAGACCCCTCTCATCACTTGCAAACTGGAATAGGACCGCGGCTGCAAGACAGGTGATCATGCCGCTAGCGAAGACCGCCCTGAAGCTGGGGCCCCTGCCTGCCGTTAGCGGGGCAAAGGGGCCTCACCCCTCCCCTGTTCCGACGGCGCCTCAGACATACACCCTTCAGAAACCGAGAAGGAAGACGCGCACTGCCGAGGCCGCACAGCCCTCCCCGAGGGCCCCAAAAGCGTCCAGAGCACGTGGGGGGAGGCGAGTCGTCGCAGCAATGTGGGAGATCCCGTGGCAGGGGGAGGCGGTCAGGGCTCCGCTAGGATTCGCCGTTTCCCCGCACTCGTTACGGATAAACGCCCTACCCCTGTTTGCTGACTCTCGGCGCTGCGCGCGGCCGCGGGCGCCCGGGCAGCAGTGGTTTGTCCAGCACCTTGCGGCAGCAGCGCCCAGAAATGCTTAGCATTCACGACAGATCGTGTGCCCGGTGGGGCTCGCAACTAGTTCAAGCTGGGGGGCATCCGGCGGGGCTCGGGCGGACTTGGCCTTGCGACGCTCCACATCAGCCCCCTAGATAACCCCCCTGCAGCATGAGACCACGAAACCACGACACATCGTGGGTCCACTGGGCTTCGTAACTAAGAAGAGCTGGGGGACGTCGGGCGGGTATCGGCCTTGCAACGCCACACATCCTCAAGCCCTCCATCGAGGACCCCCCCCCCCAGCATGAAACCAAGAAACCAACCAATCAGGGCCACCCTCCGACTGGCAGTATGACGACAGATGTGAAGGGTATCAGGATGTATAGTCCTGCATCGTGGTGCCTTCACACATTAAATGGTCCGCTCGACGGTTCCCGAACCACGCGTAGTACGAGCATCCTTGGGCAAGCGCCTGCTTCCAGGAAAAGTTAAATTTCATATAGCACACAGTTACGATGCCACAAGCGTTGGCCATGACCTGGGTCCTTGGCCAGGGCCAGACTGCCATACATCTAGGAACACTTCACCCTGGGTCCAAACTCCGAGCAGCCCTGGACGTGCCTGGCTCCTCCTCCTCCTCATCATCATCCTCCTCCTCCTCCTTCCTCTCCCTCCTCCCTCTCCCACCTCACCCCCTTGTCCCTCCACCCTGCACTCCACCCAGTTCCCCGATCTCCCACCCGCCCCCCTCCTGGGCGGCGTGAACGCAGGCGGCGGAGGAGGTGCGCGACGACCTCGGTGTCTCAGGAGTCTCCACTCTTGCAGACATGCTGGCGGCGTTGACCGCAGGGGCTGAGCTGGCGCGCCAGGGCGCGGACCCTGAGCCAGCGGCGCCCCTGGAGGCCTTGCTGGGACACCCGACACAGGAGAAGACCCTGGTTGCTATGGTGCATAAGAAAAACCACGCTGCTGCGAAGCAGCGACTGCACCATGCAGCCAGGCGTCGCTGCTGTCCGCGGGAGGGCCCGGGGCTGGCGCCTTCCTCCAGTACCCCAGGGAGCTGGCCTGCACGCTGGAGGACCCGCACTGGCAGACGGTGACCCGCAGCCGCGTCCAGCTGCCGCGGCCGGAGTGCTCCACAGACGAGCTCGCGCGAGCGGCGGCGACGTTCCAGAACCTGATGGCCAGCGGAGTGCCGTGCCAAGCGCCGCTGGATCCGGCGGGGTTCCACGCGGCCGTGTGTCAGCCGGGCGGAGGCGTCGTCAAGCGGCACGCGGGCGTGGCGCGCGCCGCGGGCAGCCTCGCCGGCAGGTGGTGCCACTGCTTGCCGCTGTACGAGCAGCGGGTGCCCACCTGGGACAGGGCCCGCGCGCCGCGGCAGGGGCGGGCGCCAGTCCTAGAGCGGGCTATCCTGGACGTCGAGTATGACGACCTCGACGGCCGCCGCTGGCTGGACGTGACTGTCCGCCACCCAGCGGCAGGGGACGAGCCCGCCGTGCGCGCGCGGCGGCAAGGCGCGCAGGCGAGGCGGCCCGCCGGGCCGAGCGCGCCAAACACACCCGCTACCCAGGCGAGCGCCTCACGGCGTTCGCCGTGGAGACGGGCGGCCGGCTCGGCGGGGAGGCGCGGGCCTGGCTGCTGGCGCTGGCCAGAGAGCTCCCGGAGGACTCGCAGCAGGAAGAGCTTGCGCGAGCCTATCGGGTGCTCAGCTGCGCGCTGCAGCGGGAGCTGGCCCACCAGCTGCGACGCGCGGCCGGGCTGCGCTGAGGCTGCTCTGGGGCCACAGCCTAGGCCGTCTGCGGGGCGCTGGGACAGCTGGCGCCGGGCGGCTGCTGCGCTGGGCTGAGGCGGCGCTGCGCTGCTGGGCACGGGGCTGCTTGGTAGGCTGGCGCGGAGCGCCGGGCCGCGCGGCGCGGCGGCGAGGAGCTGCTGCGCTAACTGGGTGGGCCCTGGCGGGGGCGCTGGCAGGCCCTGCGCCGCTGCGGCGTGGGGCGGCGCTGGCCGGCGGGCCCGGCCGGGTGCAACAGCCGCGACACTGCGGGGGCGGCGGCGAGCACGCGACGCTGGCGGCGAGCTGGCGCAGCTGCCTGGAGCGCGGGGTTCCTCCTCGCGGGCCGCTACGGGGTCCTGGTGGTCCACTACCTTGTCCTGGGGGGCGCGTTCGACCTCCCAGGTATGGAAGTCTATAGGACCTGGCTGGCGCACCCCTTCCTCCTCGGGGGTGGCCCACCGCCGAGCGGCGGGTTGCACCTGGGTTGGGGGGGTTGCGCCGGCTCCCGATCAACGAGCACCCGCGGGAAACGGACCCGCGCCGCGCTCGGAGGAGGAGAGAAGAGGACTGAGGGAGGATGGCGAGAAGGATGAGGAGAGGCGAAGATGGGCGGATCAGAGCCGCCGGATGCCTGAGGAGGGGGAGGGGGAACGGCACTATCGGCTGCATGCAAGGGTGGTACTTTCCATGAGTGACCTTTGGTGCGCGGCTTGCCGATCGCTGCACGCGACGCGAGAGCAGCGGACTGCGTGCTTGCCTTTGGCCCCCTCCACCGCCGCCCGAAAGCCGCGCAGCGAAGGCCACTCCAGCGAAGGATCACTCAGATGTGTAGCCGACCGCAGGCGCGAGGAGCGCACCGAGCATCGTGACGACGATGCCCAGGGCGGTGAACACCACCTCGCCAGGGGGGGAGCGCGAGCGAGACCGCGCCTGGTACCGCTCGCGCCGAGACCTCACTGGGGCTACAAGGGGCTCCCGCCCAGCATGGAGGCTCGACGGTCGCGGTTCGTATATCGTTCCGGGCGCCTGTGGGATTTGTTTTGGCATATGAGGAGGGGGCTTCTCGTCGCTACGACCGCATTCCCTCTGGGATCCTGCCCAGAAAGGACCCAGGGACAGGTCTGGGGGCCGATGTTGCACCCCCGACGCACGACCTCCAGCGTCTCCAGCGTCTCGAACAAATCAAACCGCGTACTTTCTAAAATTCCAGAAAGCCGAGAGACATCGTCTCCAGCGTCTTGAACAATTCAAGACGCAAGTTTCAATTTCCAACGTCGAGGGAAAGCTCTTGCTAAATCTTAGTCTTCGCGCGCTGAACGTTTCCGTCGTTCCCCTCTGCCATCCCCGTCTGTCGTCGCTGTCTATCGTCGATGTCGATCGTCCGTCGTTCGTCCGTCGGGTCTGTCTCTCTGCTCTCTGCCACCGGACTCCTCTCACGTCTGCAAATAACATTGTATATTTGCGTGTGCATGCGTGTGTGGGGGGGGATAAGTTGAACAAAGCGCGCCCCGCTTTAGCACTTGCTGTGGTGCTGTCACCGAGCCGCTTGAGGAGAAAGTGTGGGGGGGCTCTGCACGCGTGCCAGGCGGCGTTCTGCTGCACTCCCCAGCGAGACTTCGAGGCCGTTCGCCTTCTCTTTTCTCGCGCGCTGCGCGTGTGTTTGCCCAGGGATGCTGCTCTAGAGGCGGCCCTGTCTGCCCAGGGAGGCTGCTCTAGAGGCGGCCCCTTTGAAGGCCAGTGCTACTCCCCCCTCCTGACCGATCGGCGCCCAATCCTGAGGATTCAGTTGGGGGCACCCAGTCTGTTCCACCCCGTCCTTCCCCGGACCATTCACCCCCTCCTTGGTGTTAGTGTTCGCTCGTCTCGCCAGGACTCAATTCAGCCCTACGGGGCGGCTGTCTTACGCTGAGAGGGGCGGAGCAGGAGGGGGGGAAGGCATCGAGTGTTCCGACCAGCCAGACAAGGCGATAATTCTGTCAACATGTGTACTTCAGATTCTGTACTTTCTACTGTCCATCCTTGTGGCTCCACGAAAAACCCTTCACGGGGCTGAGGTTCTCAACGCTGCCCCATCGTTCCTCCTCCCCCCTCCCCCACCCTTCCTGCCTCGGCTGCACTGAGAATGACCCAGGCGAAATGACCTCTTGTTGCGCGGCCTGAGGGAGCCACAGTGGGCCGAAGTCCAAGCTCGGTGGAGTATTGAAGGGCTCCCCAGCCAAAAACCACTCCCGCGAAGGGCAACTCTTACGCACGTGTGGCCGATTCCCGCCTGCCTCCTCCGCCTGCTCTGGCGGCCTGGGTGGCCTTGAGCACCTCCATGTCCATCATGGGGATGCCGAGAAGGCTGGGGTGGGGGGGGGGGGGCGTGCGCGCTCAGAGGGGCAGGGAGAATGAGGTGGAGGCGGACGACGGGGGAGGAGAAGCGTTACGAAGGAAGACGACGGGGAGGAAGGACGGCCATAAGGAGAGGGACCGAGAGGAGGCGGAGGAGGAGGAAAAGGAGGGGGAGGAAGAGGAGGAGGAGGAGGAGCATGAGGAGGAGGAGGAGGAGGAGGAAGAGGAGGAGAAGAAGGAAAAGGAGGAGGAAGAGGAGAAAGAGGAGGACGAGGAGAACCAGGAGGAGGAGGAGGAGGAGGAGGAGGAGGAGAAGGTTTGGGCTCCAGTGTTTGAGAGTCACCGACGCCTTCAGATTGGTGTGACTACTCAGGTGCAGCTCGGACCTTAGGCGTGCCACTGGCCGCTCAATACGATCACTCTTCTACCGTACCCCAGTGTCTCTGCCACCACGCCAGGGAAAAAGGAACAGCCCGAGCCAACTTGGCATCGGCGACTCCGCAAGAAGCGGGGGCTCGCTAGGGTCATCTTGAGAATCCAGGAGGCGACTCGTATCAGTCGCCCCCATCACTCGCACAACCCGATGGCCAACCAGTATCATCGATCGTCGGGCCCGATTCGAGGACATCATTGGGTATGCCTGTGTGAACAGCACTTCGACAATAATCACGCTCAAAGGAATGCTCATTGTTGGAACCCGCAGCGCCAGCGTCCCGTCAGCCAGCCTAGAACGCCAAGGGGAAGGGCACTCACAAAGGTAAAGGAGAGTCGTCACTTCCCGCCAGACCGAAGCAGCTCAGGAGTTTCCTCGCCAGAATTGTGCCAGTCGCCCGTTCTGTCATAGGTTTTCCGCCCCAGCGCCCTTGGTCAGATGTGTAGGAGGAACCGCCAGCAGATGCAGCACAGGTCAACGACTACAAAGCAAAAGTGTATCGTCTAATGGACCAGCTCGGTATGCTTGCGATGCCTGCCAAAGAAACGGGAAAGGATAACAGCATGTTAGTATCGGAGATTTCGGTGCTGAAACTCATGACCCAGAGTTGCGACAAGCCAAGCATTCAACTTGATAGAGTGACGCCCTAGGAGAAGCAGCTCAGAATAAGTTAAAGTCAGGGACCGCATATCGGCACTTCAAGTCGAGGAGCAGCATCTGGTTGCCGAACTGGAGTCAACCGGCAACCTACACAACGAGATCAAGGAGCTGGGGGAGTACGAGGAGGACTGTGATGACGACATAGAGTGGGCACCTCCTGGACAGCCAGGACAGCCCTCAGCTCCAGCTTGCCCTCCTGCATGGGTCCCGCAGCCACCCCCCACAGCGGGGGCCATGGCCCCGGGACCTTGCGGTGGCACCGTGCCCCCAGCGCCCGCCCTGGTCATCGGCCATGGCATTCCGCCCGCCACCAGAGGCATCGGCAAGAGCGCCGCGGCCTTCATCCCACCGCAGCCGCCACCCGCGGCGCCAAGTGGACCCACGACTTCAGCGGAGCCTCCCCGTCCTCAGGTTCGGCTCCAGGCGGACGCCCAGATTGGCCAGATCATGGAGATCATGCAGCACCTCCTCACGAAGGCGAACACCCAGGACCAGTGCATCACGGCCATCAATGAGACGCTCATCAGCATCAAGACTGAACAGCAGCAGCGCGCATCGGCCTCCAGTACTACGGGCAGTTAGCCGTTGGGGGGTACACGGCAGGTTGGAGCCCCGCGCTAGTCCAGCCTGCCAGCTCAGGAATGGCGCCCACATCACCGACGGGATCAGTATCGCCGACTCCAGTTGCACCGACGCCAGCTACGCCGCCACCCCATGGTCGATACCCTCCCTCGCCATCGCCGCCGATGCTCAGCCAGACCCTGCTACGCCCGCGCCAGTGTGAGGGATGCCGACGCCGATGGCTCCTGCCACAGGCGCATGCGACGAGGCCACCCAGATCCCCACCCCGCAGGTGCTCGAGCCGATCTCGCCCACCCAGATGATGGCGCCTGGGGAGGCGAATGCCGAAAATACCCTAGTTGCGCCGCCCCAGTGTTCCGCAACCTCGGTAGTAAATGTGTCAGATTCTCAGACACAGTTGAGAGCATCTCAGATCCAGGAAGCAGTTGCGAGCATCGAGAGAGCCACGAGCATTCCAGTAGAGCAGGCACCCCAGGGCTCCACCCCTATGCTTCCAGATGCAGTGCCAAGCCCGCCACGCAAGGTGCAGAAAAGGATCGATTTCTCTAGAGTAGGCCCAACTGCGAGTAAAGAGATCAGGGAGCCCAGCCCAGCACCCCTACGCAGATCCGTTTCCCCCATACCTCACATGGTTCGCTCTCGTGTATTTTATCTTAGTCGTCTCCCCTCTCCCCCCAACGTGGACGAACACAGCTCGTGCTTTGAATTCGAGGGCATAGTCAACCCCGCGTCCTGTTGCCGAGATTTGATGCGCGACAGGAATCCCCGCGCCCGTTTCTTATTGCAGGCAAGGGACGTCGCTACAGAGGATGGTGGGACGTGGGGATCAGGGGGGATGCTTGTGACCTCGCAGTTGTGGCAACAGAGCGCTGCTAGATCCTCTCCGCACACCAGCGCCCACGGGAGCGGCGCTTCTGTCACAGCAGAGACCCATGCCATTTCGAGGAGAGGCGGATCGGTTGGTGGGGGCGCAAACGGTGCGGGGGGATATCCACATCACTGCCGAGACGACTGCACGCATAGTCGCGACCTCTCATTCTGGCCCGCCACCAGCGTTTTTGACACGAGCCTCTCTGGGGATAGAGAAGCTCTCAATGCCACGCTTGAGCCCAAGCTGAGCAAGACCCCTGGGGAGAGGAGGCACTCAGTTAAGGTTAGGAGGTGAGAGGGAGGGAGAAGTAAATGCTTTTTGTCTCACACTTGTGGGCACGGTGCTGGAGTCCTTGCAGCGACGGTGGGTAAACATAACGCTGCTGCCGGCCTGGATGGACGGCGCCTCGACTTCAGCACAGCATTGCTCACTGATTTTTGCTGTCCTAGCACCCGCACGCAGGGCACAACCTCACAACGAATTCGGCGGATGCTCGGCATGCACCCCTTTCCGTGCCATTCCGCTGCACCATGTGATCGGTGACCCCAAGTCTTCTCTAATGTTCAGCACGGTGGTGCAGATACGCACTGCGCCATCTATCAGCTACACCAGTTCTGCAACTCACTCAATGTTGATTGCAGTTTCTCTTATATGTTCCTGTGGTGTGCCGATCTGCCGTTGGTCATGTCACTATGTGGGCCTCCTGAGGTTTCCCCCCGAGGCCCTGAGGACTCTATTGGGCCCCCCCGAAGGCCACGAGCTACGCGTTCCCTCCCCCCTCCCTTTTATGCGTCCTTCAGGCTCCCTCAGGTCCCTGCAGTGCTGCATCGCATAGCTCAGTGTGCTTTCCCTCCACCTAGGCTTGATCTAGGGGACCCTTCTTTTCTCCCCGAAGAGGCCCGACTAGCCCTTGCGAGTGCACCCCCCAGGAGCGGGAGCTGGACTAAGATTTCTGTGTTCTCATACGGTTCTGTTAAGGACGCGAACGATGATATAGCTGCGTGGGCCTTTGTTCTTGTGTTCTAGGGTACTGAAGGCCATGCATTCGCAGGCAGCTACTCCGGAAGGGTCAGCCAGACTTGCAAGACGCTGCCAAACCACGCCCTCACCAGCACCAGCTCAGAGTTGGAAGCGTTTCTTTGGAGCATTCTCTTGTTGTTGTATCGTCCCGACAGCAGCCCAGTGCACATTGAATCAGACTCCTTGAATGCAGTGCAGGCGCTTCAGGGGAAAACAGCGCCTAGTCGGACCGGTCCCCTTGCTCGCCTCACACGCTCGCTCTGGCTTCTACTATGATGCCGCAGATCCGCATGCAGATCGCACGCCAAGGCCCGCAATGGTCACCCTTGGAACTCTCTTGTGGACTCGCTCGCCAGGGGCACCCAACTTGGCTCTGTTCTTCCCTGCCCCCTCCCCTACGGGTTTGTGGCCTTCGCCGAGTTCCACGTGGGGTTCGAGTGGGAATGGATCCGTGAGCTGGATTCTTGGCAGGCCCCTGCCTTTCCTCTATGGCGGCATCATGTTCAGACGCCTGTGCCAGCGCGCACTGCGGACTCGAGCCATGTTGAAGAACTATGTCCTGAGACCACCGTCAAATGTAAAGGCACCCAGGTTCAGCGGTCTGCAATTCCACATCATGCGCGCTCCGCCTCGACCCGCCAGAATTGGGGTTCTTTTGGCATAGCTCGCAGGGCCCGGGACATGGCCATTCGTCTTCAAATGGCCTCGTTAAAGGCGCTCTTTGTTGAGGTTCGGGTGGCCAGGAACCCGCGCGGGGTTAAGAGCGCCGACGGCTTTCTTATTTACTCCTCTGGGTGTGGCCCCGCCTTGCCTGCCGATGGGACTCGGGGTAGAAGTATGGGTCAACTTCAAGGTCCCCTATGCCTCTGCGGGCAAGAGGCAGCTGTTTCTTCCGGGGTCTCACGTGCGAGCCCTATACCTTGACCCCCGAATTCTGGTGGTGCCCATCGCTGCTGCGGCCCCAAATCTTATCGTTGTTGTTGCGCATGCACCCCACTCTAGGAAGGAGAACGACGTGCGCGACAAGTTTTGGACCAAGTTTCTAGGCCTAGCCAAGCAGTGACGCCCACAATTGGCACTCATCGACGCGAACGCTCGCGTCGGCAGCCTCACCTCAGCAGCTGTTGGCAGTGAGGAGTTCCGACAGGTGCAAGACAGCATGGGAGCCACACTGTGCGACGCTGCCCTAGCTGAGGACCTACCCTTGCCCAACGCCCTTCTCCCTGACCCTGTCTCAGGCTGCGCGTTCGCCGAGGCAGGAGGAAATGAACATAGGATAGACTACATTCTCTCCGACAGGTCTCTCCTGTCATGCGCTTCCTCCGTTTGTTCCCCCCCTTCCTTTGGCAACTGCATGGCAATAAATGATCACGCCCCTGTCGCTGCGCATTTCGCGTCGGCATTGGGGGCCTTTCGGGCCCGAGAACCGACATGCCCCAAACTT